CTTTACACATGAACGTACATCTTTATGTTTTTATTTTTTTATTGAATAGTAAAACTATGTGCTATATATAAGAAAAAAAGATATATAATAAGATTACTTAAAAAGAATTGTATGAATTAATTATTATTGTGTAGGTAACATAATTGAATATTTTTCTTATAATGGTCGCCCAATGTTAACCTTTTTTTAAATAAGTCCCCAAATTTAAAATTGCTCTTAAATAAAACTATCAATTCTATAAGTTGTCTTTAGTATGCCCCTCCAAATGAAAGTTGTTAACTTAACTCTAATGCTATGTTTGGATGGAGGGTAGAGAAAGGAAAGGTAAAAGAAATTTGAGTTTAACCTTATTTGGGAGTTTTATTGGGAAGGTAGAGGAGAAAAATATGGGGAAATTTTACACTAAAATCTTACACCTCAAATTGGGGGTAAAGGAGGGGAACGTACCTTTCCTTCCCTTCCCTTGGTGAGCTCCCAAATATAACATAAATTAACTAAGCTGCTTTAATCTTTATAGCTTTTTCCTAATGCTCACTAGATAATTATACTTGATACCTATGACATATTACAATAGTTTTCGCTCATTATAATTATTTAATAGGATAAATTATATTAAATCCTTATGAACTTTAGCCCATATGAACTTTTAAAATTACACTAAACCCCTAATGACTATTCCGTTTCAAAAAAGCCCCCTAATAACTTTCAAAATTTTGTAGGTAACCTCATAATTAAATTAGAACTGGAAAATGGCACAAAAATATATTTTGAAAGTTAGTGGGGGTTTGGTGTAATTTATCTAAAAGAAAATGGGAGCTTTAGCGGTTTAGTGTGATTTTGAAAGTTCATAGGGTCTATTACCTGCAAAAAACTAAAAGCTCATAAGGGTTTATTGTAATTTACTTTATTTAATATTATAATTCTTAGTTCAAGTGATGCTATTAAAATAATTATACTGTCTATATACTATAAAATATTTATCTAATTTTGTTTTTCAATTATGCTCTTAAATAATTTAGTACTATAAATATTTTATAAATTTTTTATTCTACTACCATTAACAATTAATAGTACTATTATTAATATTAAATAGTTTATTGTAAAAAGATTAGTTTCCAATCATTACCAATTATAGGTTATTTAGCATCATGTAATACTCTTTGTGAAAATACTTTAAAAATAATATTAAATTATTTATCTAATTTTTTTAATAATATAATACTAAATAAATAGTATAATTCATAATTTATGTGATATTATTTAAAAATATAGTTTATATGAAATTTCAAATGTATTATATTTATTTTATTACTTATTGAAATATAGTATAATTCTTAATAGTATCTAGTAATATATTATTCTATTTATACTATTATTTTAATTATTTTATTATAATTCAAAAATAATAATTATAATAATTTAATTAGTTATAATTAATAATTGTGTGTACTTATTTTATAAATTATTTTATTTTATTATTTTCATACAATTAATAGTTATAATATTATGATAATTATAATTATTTAGGAAGGTGAGGTGGTGCACAAATAATAAGTGGTTATATTTTAAGAGTCCCAAAAAAATTACAAGTTTTAACACTCCAATGCTCTTTTTATAGTAGTATATGTATAAAAATTTGGGCGTCCTCTTCACTTGAAATTGTCCCGGACAACTGGAAAGAGTATATGCATTTATTGTACAATATGTCTATCATTTAATATATAACAATTACCACTTATTGAAGATTAGACATTTCTTTTGTGAATCATTAAGAGCTTTGCTACAGTGACCCAAAATATGGGACCAATAAAGGGGACAAGTGAGGTGTCCCCCTCCTATTAGATAATGAGTTGGCCATCATTAATGATGGCCAACTCATTATCCAATAGGAGGGAGACACCTCACTTGTCC